ACTTTATAGGCTATTGCAGTCATTGTGTTGTGTGTGGTGTAGTAATTCTCACATTACTGCGTAGGTTTTAGTTTGAAATGCATCCAAGAGCACATTTGTAGAATCATAATTCTGTTCATGTTTAAAAATGGTTGTATTACCACATATTTCTATTCCATATTCAATAAATGTGTGTATTATCCCATAATATATTATTTCAAGTGTATCATTTGTCATGTATTTCCTAAAATATGTTAATAAGATGATGTTAGATCTTATTTTATTACTGAATTTATTAATGTGTTTATCGAAAGTTAGGCTTTCATCAATATATATTCCGAGAATTTTATGGCATTTAATTTGCTTTATAATTTCATTTTTTACCTCAACACGAGTATAGTTATTTCAGATCTTAAGAGTTTGATAAATTAATGTATATTACATTTGTTTTTTCCGTATTTAAGATTAAATTATTCTAATTAGCCAAATTAAGTCAAAGTAATAAGATATATACCATTGACTTTGTCATTTTTTCATCAAGTGTAATTAAGTCTTCAACATTGCTAACAACTGAGGTGTCATCTGCATATGATATTAATTTATAAACTTTAGTCTTGGAAAAATCATTTACAAATAATAGAAAACGTTGAGGACTAAGTAACGTCCCTTGTGGAACACCTGAAATTCAAACTTTGACTGTATTCTATCAATTAAATTTCCAGATTCCCAAAACCTTTCTGTACATTGCTTACGATTTATTATTACTTCTTCTCAGCCCCAAACACTCCATTCTTTTGATGAAGTAAGTTGTGGGGTATTGTATTGAAAGCCTTTGAAAAATCTATAAAAGTACTTGCTGTACATAGATTATTAAATACTTTATTTATAAAATTATATGCTGCTGTTATAGTTGACATGCCATTTCTGAATCCATGTTGATATTTTTCAAAAACATTGTTATATTCCATAAAATTACAGATTCTTTTTGACATAACTTTTTCAAAAAGTATTATACAGTTTATAATTAAATGGTAGAAAAGAAGTCTTCAAAGAAATCCAAATTACAATTTAAAATGGCATCCTAAAAAATGTGTACTGTAAATAATGACCTACTGATCAAATGCAAATATTCCTATTGATTCTTTTGTCCAACTGGTGCTTAATATATTAAAACTAACCAAAATTGTCTCTATAAACAATCAGAGTCAGCCCTACTTTAAATTACAAGCCCTGAGAGAAATAGAAATTATATTCAACGATATAATCTCTACAAAAACATTAAAGAAGCAAATTTCATCAATGACATCAGGTGACAAATATTTTTAATTTCTGGTGGTATTCAGTAATGGTCAAGATGGAACAGCCAGAAAGAGTATTTCAAAATGAACAATATACATATTATAACAGGAAAGAAACATTAAAAAAATTCCAAATGACAACAGAAGATCTAATTCTTAATTTGAACCATAATAAATGGATTAAGAACAGAAGCAATAAATCTGGTATTTTAAAATATGTAAGTCTAAGTCCTTCCATGCTGTTTTGCATTGCATTGCTTATTCCAAAATTTTAGCATGTTTATACATTTAATGGACTTGGTTTAGTATTAGAAGAGGGGAGGGGTGTTAAGCACCCACGAAACAGTAATAAAATGTAACATCCTGGTGCCATAAGTGACTTGCCCTCTATAGATCTGAATAAACGTTAACGCTTGCTGTCACTCACATCCAGAAACCATTTTTGCAGGTTTTATAATTAATGGACTTGATTTGGGTACATATTATTGTAATTCAGATGCTCTGTTAAGTTCTACAGTGTTGGATTATTACATTCTATAATATTAATCTTCTTCCCAGTACTTCAAGAAATTGAGTGTTTGGCACCCACAAAACATTGTAATAAAAAGTAAAACTTAACAACCCAGTGTCAGAATTAACTTGCCCTCTAAATTAACAATCTTTTTAAACAATTCCTTCATTGGAAACTTGGGTATATTAAATTAAATGTTACAAAATATAAAAAAGTAATTTTGCACCACATTTAGAAACTAGTTTAGGCACTTCTTAAGAAACATTCTTCTGGTTAAATGTTATTCGATCCTAAACATAAAAAGTATTTCAAAAAGTAAATAAGGATGTTAAGTTTCTCACATGATAAATTCAAGGAATCAAAAAGAACATCAGATACTGATTTGCCTACCTGAAGTAATGCACATATCTCTTACAAAAAACAGCTGGCTCAAACAAATAAGGATTTTTTTATCCCACTTCAGTTTAAGATAATTCCAAAACCTTGTATCTCCACAAAAGATCTTGTATCAAAAATTTGAACTAACAAACGTTTCCCTAAAATTGGGAAGAAAAAATTGAACTTATTGAAGGATTGGAATTGTAAGAGAAAATTATTTCATAACTCTAAAATAAAATCGTTTGTAATATTTGATTCTCAAACCAACTTCCTGTCAATAATGACAAAGTTCAGAAAAACTAAGTGAAACCCCAATTTTTGCAAATAAAGCAAGATAAAAGAAATGTTGTAATGATGATGTAAATGAAATAAAATATTTGCATAAATAACATCAACTGTTCACTCATAACTTCTATTATAAGATTACAATTATATATTTTATCTCGCAACACTTTGTATACATTTGATCAATTACCGAAATAAATCTAGCAATCTATTCATTATTTCTCTGCAGTACATATAGATCTACAAATAGAAATAGATTTTTACAGGCTTGAAACAAAGTTCACACTTGGCTTTGATTACCTTTTCTCTTAAATAATCTTGTTTACTGAATGAACACACAAGCCACTCAAGACAATTCAAAGCAGATTTTTTATCACTAAGCAAACAATAACCAATGTTAGTTTTCTTTGTTGTGATTATTATTATTATTATTATTATTATTATTATTATTATTATTATTATTATTATTATTATTATTAATGTTATTATCATCATAATTATTATTACGGTTAAATATTTTAATAATTAAATTTTCATACGCAACTACTTCGTTGTCTTTTCCACAAATGTTCAATTTATTCTACAATTTACTGTCTTTTATCAAAATTTACAGTTCTCAATAACACCACAATAAATCTCATAAAGCTTACTTACAAAACAAACCTAATATTAACTTCCATTAACAAGTGTGAATCAGTTGATCAAGTAGCAGGAACATCCACATCAAAAATGTTAGATAACTGCACCTGTTGTACTTTCATTTAGCATCATAACGCATAAGAGAATCTCAACTTCTAATTGACTGACAGTATCCACAATTGTGAAAGTAGATCACGTTGTGCAATTTAAAAATGACTAGTATAGGCAATGGGTCACTGTCACTTTCTCAAGACTTTAGAGACAAGTTTAGAGATAAGAATCCAGAAGTAAGAAATGTTATACACATTAAATAATTGCAACAAAATAAGGAAGGAGGTATAGTGGAAAGAAGAATAAAAGAAAGGTGGAAGATACAGAAAATGTAAAATGAAAGACAGTGGAGAAGAAGAAATTACAATTACACAAAAACTACAACAAAACTTAAAATTTTGAAAAATGATCCCATATTAGTAGGATTCATTGTAATTGAACTACATTTAGATTTATTTTATCATTTATAACTCACAGACATGAGTCGACCAACTGATTGCTACTGGTCATGACGACCTTCATTGATGATCAACCCAGCCAAATAGTTCACAGGGCCATGCAAGTCCCACTTCACCTGCAACAGATATTGCATATATCTTAGAGTGCAGACCCTTTATTCCTAAATAAACAAGATTAAATGTCATGTCTTATCACATAAAAAAAAGTATAATAATATATAGAGCATTCAAAGAAGCACTGCTATAGTATTTCACTGTATTTCTATGTTTGGTACATTGAATAAGAATAAGACTGAATACAAATTATCTATGGAAAAAATAATAACAGTAGACAACGCATAAACTGCAAGTTGACTTCAACTATCACTAGTATGTTCATTGCTTTCAAATTTTGAATTCATGTTACTAACACATTCTGCAGTATTAATTAGGTTGATTATATAAGAAAATCTTTATACTTGGCCTGCATTTTCAGTCATTGTTCCTGCTTTGTTGTAGTTAGTATGCTCAATTACTTTCTGAAGCTCAGTCCATTTTCCCCTCTTAACTACTTTAAATTAGCTTATAAATCAGGTCAGGTCAAATTATCCTGATCTTAGTCTTCAAAAGATAACCTACAGATGTTAAAGTAGATGCCAATTAACATGTTGTAAGGCAACATGTCAAATTGCCTCTACAATTTTAAACATTCATGAAATCTAGGTTTACTTTGTAGCTGAAGACAATTAAAATACTAACTTTCTCCTCTAAACTACAACCATTTTATAAGTAACAAGTTCAATATTTAGAAACAAGAATCTTGAAATTAAAACAAAAATATCCATCAAAAAGTGTTCTTTTATGACCTTAAGTAATATTGTATGATAAATCTATCCCTTCCCAAGAGAAAATTATTAGTCTTCTTTAAAACTTAATCACTACAGTCCAAACATGTAGAAATAATTCAAAGACTTCATTTCAAAGAGCACCTTCAGGAGAGAAATACAAGGAAGTGTGAAAGAATGTATCTCAAAAAAGAAAACGCTTCATTGTTTAGTATGTTCTTTCCTCTGGTTTTGCTTTCCACGAATTCCTACCCTTACCCAAATTCCTATTATAGTCTTCTTAACTCATTAACATTTATTTTCAATGGCATTCCACAACAAAATTCATACATTAAATATTATAAAATATAATACATTATTGATACTAATAATTTCTGTCATATAAAAGAAGCAAAGATAGGAAGTCCACGAATAGGAGTGCAATAACTCTATTGCTTGTACAAACAATGATTACAATTTCAATAATTTTCTCATAAATGACATATTCGAGAATGTCTAAAAAAAACAAAACAATATGTTCAAAACTTGTATTTATAAAGGGGGGAAAATACTACTAAGTAAATTTAATTCATCTTACCTTATTTTCAGTTTGGCAAGAGAAATAAAAGACATATGAAATGAATGTTCACAACATTAAGTCCAATTCTCTAGTATGGCATATCAACATTTTCAGCATTATGATATGCTGTCTACCTGAAAAATAAGAAAAGAAAAATAAATCCATACGTATAATTTTTAACAATACGAGTAGTTAAAATATAATTAAGAGTTATTAATTATTTTAGACTTGGAAATAAATCTGATAGTTCTTTAAGAGAGATAATCATACACTGTGTTATGAGTAAATCATGTGTATGTCAAAACTCTCTTGGACCAATACTAAACGACTGTCAACAATTTTTGTGTTTCTGTTACTACTATTCACATTTCTATTAATATTCATTTTCATGGTATAATATAAAACAAAGTATTTCCATTTATTAACATTACTTCAACATGCCAAATTTCATCATACACTCAAAAGAAAACTATTATCATGCATTCTTTAAACAAAAACACACCTTTGAACAAAATGAAAATGAGTATACAAAAGAAATTAAAATCTGTATTGGACAGCTCCTCTGCACAATCTTATCGTATAGCAGTTGGCAAAGAATTTAAAATTCAACAAACCTAACCTCTAGTCTCAACTATCTTCAAATAACATGCTTCAACGAAAATTTTAAATTACTTCACACAACAATTACAAGGTTTATATCTGAAAATTAATGGAATTGCTTTTACCAATTTAAAACCTTGTACCCAAAGTGAAGTTAAATGCTGAAAACTTATTTGTTTCATAGTCTTATCGAGGGTCCTGGGAGGAAGATACATTAACAGAAAGTATGCCCTAATTTCCACTTTGACATCTCTATAATTATGAACAAAAGTACACAAAATATAAGTTTCACTTAAGAATTCTAGAAACCAAATTTTGAATTAGATACACTACAAATATTACTAAAAAGCATCCAAGACATTAGATCAATATACATATACATAACCTGTTAAGTTGGCACCAATGACCATCACATAAACTAGGCACACACATTTTTCTTTCATCAAAGTTATCGTAATTACTATAGCTAATATAATCACTTGCTATCGTATCATAACTCACCACATTCCACTGCAACCAACTGCATTTGATATTTGGGAACGTACGATAGGAACTTGCACCGCCCAATAAATCTTCCTTTTAAACGTCAGATACCATTTACATACAAATATGTCCACACAGGAAACAAAGAAATTCAAAATCAGATACGAAATTCGTAAATGATTTCCATGAAATATACTGTTCTGTAGCTATTCTGTTTTGAAATATGCCAGTTCATAGTACTAACACTCGAAGAAATGGTACGATGTACGCTCATTAGTGAATGGGCCGCCCTCGTTTATGTGTCCAGTTGAAATATCCTCTGTGCAATTGTTACACAGATTAAATTACATGCAAAAAACTGTAAACCAAAATCAAATAAAACCCCACAGTACCTATTACGTCAGCATCCAGCTTCACTTTCTCACTTGATTTAACACTTCTCACTGAACTCCGGGCTTGTGAACTCAGTGCCCTCGGGTATTAACCGCTCATCTTCATCACCTTCGTCACATCAGCTACATTCCACTTGAAATACAACTCAGACGTCATTAAAGCCTTTAAATTGTGGTAACACCCATTGTAACACAATATTCTCTTCCCATCCACACCAATCCACACCCAAAGCACACTGGGTAGTACATCTAGAATCTAAAATGGTTACGCTCACCGCCACTTAGATCATTAAAATACTAGCCCTGTCATTCTTCACAGGTAACATCTTTCCACCCTCGCAAATATTTAAAATCCTAAAGAAACGACAAAATGTTGGGTAAAGTGACACAATAATATCTTACTTCAGTTTTAATTGTAAAAAATTTTGTAAATATATGCCAATGTTCCTTCACACTTATTTCGTTGTCTCTGACGTTTATTTTGCAACTACTTAGAAGAACAATACCCGTTTGAAGAATACCATTTTTGCTTATTCGTCTTATTACACGAAACATTGGCAGATTTTATGCATTTGAGACCTTCTGATTTTACAAAAGTACTTTAGGAGTATACACAATAAACTGTTAGTATTATTCGCATCAGTCTTTATGATTCAAATGATATACGTTAAACATAATTCGTAAATATTTACATCTGTTCGCATTTATTGTGAGACATTTGTTAATGTTACGGATATTTTTTTCTGTACGAACTTGATTTTTCACAGAGTTTTTCCATTTAATACATTATTTTTTTCTGGTTTTCGGGGTCTGACAAATATTAGCTGTCCTCGTAGAAAAATTAGACCATAATTACTAGATTTGTTTATATTATTCTGACGGTTCTGTATACATTTTATAAATAATAATTTCTGTTCTATTTTTTAACTCATTTACACTCAATGAAATATCACTACATCACATTTAACATTTTATTATTAAGGGTAAAAGATTGTTATATTTTGAATAATGAAATTTTAAATGTGATGTGATCTTTACTAAGTGTGAATGACTGTATAAAAAAAGACAAATTATTATGTATAAAACATAATTACTAGGCGTAGGATTTCAGGACTAATTCCTATGTAGTCCCTTTAGGAGACTGTGGAAAATAATTGCAAATATCTACGGGGCATGGAAAAATAGAGCTACTGAAAGCATCTAATAGTGCCTAAAATATCCTAAAAGGTCAGTTGATGCCTATTTTAATATTATCCCTCTAAAAGTTCCTAAAGCAAGTCATTTTGAATTATCATATTTTAATAACTCTTTTTTAAAATTTGTTATACCGAAACGCGAATATTCCCTGATCGAATTCGCCATCGTTCCAAAATCTCTCATCCATAGCATACAGTAAGGAGTTTTGCAAGTCTATATCAAGAGGATATTTCACGTTCGTCTCCGATCAGCATTCACTTCTTGTGCAATTGCACCCATTGCTGGTGCAGCGGCGGCATTGTTGACAGTCTGAGGCTTATCGTCGCGGTGGCGCTTTGTCTACGCAATCCAGGCGAGGAAAGCCAGGTCAGGCAAAAGCCTACTGTCGGAAAGATGCAACTTACAAAATGCGACCCAGCAAAATACTTTTTTTTCATTCCAGCCCTCAACAATACCCGAGGTGGAACGCGAAGGAAAAACTTTGACAGAGCAAGTGTCAGTGGTGCAAGACTAGCCCAGTCAAATTAGACAAATCGAGTGAAAAATATTCCAGAGTTTTGAAACGGCATGATTGTTGGTACCAACGAGCTACAATATACTACATAGAGTGGCTGACGCGCCTCCATCTTTGCAGCAAATTGAAGCCATGTTTCTTGAAGTTAATGCAGCGCCCTCTGGAGATACAGAGCATTGTAGCATTCCATTTGGCGCTGGTTACGGCCGGATGGGCGTGGGCCGCGCGTTATATAAATCCTGTGTTCCACGACCAAAAACCAATAATTTAAAAACGAATGCACAATATGTACGGATGGGATTGAGAAACTTTAAAAACACGTTACTTCCTACATTAGTTACTTCATAAGAATGGAAGCTGTTGAAATGTTATTGCAGTTAGCATAATGCCAGAAAGTGAATGGCACTGCAATAAGAAACAAGTAAACGGATCACGTAATGGCGGCAAACTCGAAAAATGATATATTTGTGGTTTGATGACTTCTATTTTTACAGTTATATGCCGGAGATACTAAAGACACTGTGAATATTATTATTATAACCACTAATATAATACAGATAAACGAAAAGACAACAATATGGAAATAAGATCTGATACAAACAACACACCACCATCACTGCAAAAAACCATGACAGCGTCGACCAAGAGCGCTGAAACCATAGGGCCAGCCACTCTATGTAGTATATTCCAGCTCCTTGATTGGCACATATTGCATAACATACTAAATATCCTGAAGTGTGGGAGGTGAGCCCGAGGCGGGGCCGTCGTCTGAAGATACTATTTCGACGTTGTTAGCATATACCTCCATAGCTATTGATAGCACAGACAATTATGTTCTATACGAAATTCAAGTAGATAAAATGTACCAAAATATTCTGAGAGATTAGGATATTCTACAGTAGATAATTATTTTTTGTCGCAGGTAATTAAATATTTCAAGGTGTTATTTTAATGCTACTACTCATAATAATGATAATAATAATAATAATAATAATAATAATAATAATAATAATAATAATAATAATAATAAGAATAAGAATAAGAATAAGAATAAGAATAAGAATAAGAATAAGAATAAGAATAAGAATAAGAATAATAACATAATAAACATATTTATTATGTTAGCAACTACATAAAATTTAACAATATTAGTACATTCTGTATTTAAAACTGGAAATGATGAGGAGGAGGAGGCAAGTTTTGACAAGTTTTTTTCTTCTTTCAATTAGTACACTTAGTCCTACTGCAGCACCTAATGCGTCTAGCGAATCCCAAGAGAAACATTTATTTGTTTTTTGTCAGGCATTCTCCTTCTATTTCACAGGATGCGACATGCCAGTTCTTTTTTCTTTGCTTCAGCTCAAAACAGTTAACATGAAACAGAAAGTCTAATGGGATAAGAAATGCTTATTTATTTATATTTTTTAAGGGAAATGTAATTTGAATACTCTTTTACACTGTAGGACATGTTGTTAAGCAGGAAAGCCTTCAATTTACTTTTAAATGTATGAATTGTGTTTATGTCTTTAATATCATTGCCTAGTTTGTTGTAAAGTGCAATGCCCTCTGTTTTTTGATCAAGTGTAGTTTGAGAGTGGGGAACATGTTGATTACCCTTTTGACGGGTGTTCTAGTTGTGTACATTGGAATTTAAAGTAAAAGTGTCTTTGTTTTCCATGAGAATATTATTTGTGAAGACCACTATTTCAAATATATACATGCATGGTAGAGGAAGAATCCTTAGTTTATTGAACAAGGGTTTGCAAGACTCCATGCTGGTCATTATTCGCAATATTCTTTTTTAGATAATAAATGTGCGAGAGCTTTCAGGGGCATTTCCCCAGAATATTATTCCATATTTTAGGTGTGAGTGTATATTTGCAAAATTCATTGTTCGAAGTGTCTCAATGTTGGAGCTTGACCTGAGGGTGTATAGGGCATGGCAAGATTTGCTGAGCTTCTTGTTAAGATTTGAGATGTGAGTGTTCCATTTTAGGTTTTCTTGAATTGTTAATCCAAGGAAGGTAGTTTCATGAGATATCGTAACAGTGTTATTGTTTATGAGCATGTGCTGTGAGAGTTTTTCTTTAGATCGGGGATTCATGAAATTAAGAGAGACTATCTTGCTGGTGTTTATGATGAGTTTGTTGTCTTGAAACCATTTTACTAGTGCTTGCAAAGTTTTGTGAGTTTTTTCTAATGATTGTTGTGTTTTTGCTTTGATGATTATGTTTGTGTCATCTGTAAACAAAATTATTTTGTTATTCCTTAAAGCCAAAGGCATGTCATTGTATATAAGGAATAGTCTTGGCCCAAGGATGGATCCTTGTGGGACTCCACAAATTATCATTTGAGGGCAGGAGTAGTATTAGGAGATTTTGTTTTCTTTAGTGTGCTGGAGGGCAACTATTTGGCTACGGTTTGATAAATATGATTTGATCCATTGGCCTGCAATGCCTGGAATCCCTAGCATTTCTAGTTCTTCTTAAAAGTTTTCTTTAAATACATGTACTCATCAATATAATAATGTGACCTAAACCTAAATGCAAATATTAACAACGTCTCATAGAGTACATTTAGCACCAACTTTGCCAAAAATTTACAGAAAAAAATTGGAGCCGTTTTTGAGAAAGTTTGTTTTTCGGTATTTTTAAAAATTGCAAGTTATTGCACGCAATATTGTGCGAAATCTATTAAAATTTTCAAAAATATATGCATGACCATAATAAAAGAACTAATTATGGACAACAAATTTAATTTGAAGTAAAAATCTCTATCTTTAGTTTTGTAGTTGTAGGATGACACAAAAAAAATCATACTTTTGAAATTTTCGAAAATTTAGAGTTAACCGTGAAAATCGGACCTATGCCACTTTTATAAGTGTATGTTACTTCATTCTTAAAAGAAATTTGAAGACAAAAATTGGAGTTATTTGAGAAAATTTTGAAAATGTCCGGAGGGCTTTATGTAAAGTAACCCTTAATTCTAAAGAATGCTATTCAAAATCGCAAAGCCTGATGGACAGTTTTTTTTTTTAATTTACCAATTTAGAAAAATCCTACGCATGGTTTAGGCACTAATAGCGTTCACAGACGGACGGACAGACGGTCGTATTAAAAGAAACCACTTTTTCGGTATCAGAGGACCCCAAAACGTGTATTTCCGTTGAAATCTCAAAATAGATTTTCCGTAGCATTACATAACTTTTCCTTAACTACTTACGTATATACGTATGTATCCGGGAAAGTAAAAAAAATTTTTGTAATCTTTGAAGAAAAAAAGAATAGAGGAAATTGGCGTTTATATCATCTCATAGAGTTCATTTATCACTATTTCTACCACACGTTTAAAGAAAAAAATTTGGAGCCGCTTTTGAGAAAATATTCTTTAATTTTTTTATACATATTGCACGCAATATTGCATGAAAACTACTAAAATTAAAACACACACACACACACACATGACCTTACTGAAAGAACTAATTATGAAGAACAAATTTTATATGAAGGAAAAATTCCTAGTTTCAATTTTGTAGTTGTAGGAAGTCGTCGTAAAAACGTTTGTAATGATCGAAAATTCATATTTAACCGTGAAAATCGGACCTACGCCGCCATCTTTATAAGAGTTACTCTATTCTTACAAGAAATGTAAAGAAAAGAGTTGGAACCAATTTTGAGAATTACTAGGAATACTATATAAATGCCCGACTGTGAGCCGCGTGTGAGCGATAAATTACTATTGTTTTTTATTTTAAATAATTTGGTCGAAAGTGTCATTTCACCGATTTTGTAGAATGACGAGGCTAAACTCAGCTGATATTGCGATACGATTTTATGCGTTTTAATGATTATCCAAAAATATTTTTGCTTGTAGGTTAAAATTAATGGTACTGAAAAAAAAAGTTGGGGGGGGGGGGGATTTCATTTATTTCCCACCCTTGGATCAGTGTCTGAATGACTCAATTATAGAACATACTTGAGTATTTACCTTAGTAATTACAAAATTCATCAGCTCATATTGCGATACGATTTTATGCGTTTTAATGATTATCCAAAAATATTTTTGCTTGTAGGTTAAAACTAATGGTACTGAAAAAAAAAGTTGGGGGGGGGGGAATTTCACTTATTTTCCACTCTTGGATCAGTGCCTGAATGTCTCAATTATAGAACATGCTTGAGTATTTACCTTAGTAATTACAAAATTTACTTCAAAGAAATATTAAAAATATATTTAAAACATACAAATTAAATGAATTGTTACAAAAATATTTAATAGGAACTTGTTCTTATTAACAAGAACTTATAGAATAAACATGTATTAAATACATTAAAATTTTATAATGTGTGAAGGTTTATTTCTTCTCATACTTATAAACCATACAATAGGGGCTGTGAGACAGAAGAATATATTATAAAAAATTGGAATGACAATCCAGACATATTATATGGTTAGGTATGGAAAAAATGTTAGTTACTGAACGTATGAGTGAGGTAGGTGATTTAAGTTGGTCTCTACATAAACTGTAATTTGTTTATATTACAGTCCTGAGAAAAATTTAAAAAAGCAGAAATTAAAAGAAAAAAAAAGCAAAGAAAAGAAAAAAGTTGAATTCCTTTGTGACATAAACTCAAGTGGATTCTTTTTACATACAAATCAACGTCAAGAAAGGTAGAACTTATTCTGTCTACATAGCATCTAGTCTTCAAGACTGTTAAGTTATTCTATTTAGACATCAATTTTCATTTTAATTTTTTTTTCAGCTTAAGCTGGTTACCTTCTACACCCTAACAGGTAAACAAACACAAAAACTTACTAAGAGAAGACATTTGTGAGCTCTTAGACCTGGGGTCAGCCAGCAAAACATGAGGATCCCCACATGAAAGTCATGACACAATAATCCAAACCAATGGTTGAATTAAAAATCCTCAACCCTTCAAAACGAGGCAATAAATCAGTACATGCTCTGAGACACCTTGACTTGAGGTTGGCTAGTCATATCTTACTAAACTAAATATTTTTATTTTCCAATGGCCCTAGATATATTATGATGATACATTAAAAGCACAACTTTTAATAGTAATTGCATATATATTTTTTGTTCAACCTTTAATTAGCTGAATGTTTGGGGTAAAATAAATCCTTGTTATCGAGCAGCTAGATAGTTTAATTTCTTCAGCGGTTAAAAAACCTAAAAAATCATGTTTATTGGCAAACTTATTGATTTGCTTGGTAACCATCTCTATTTGCAAATTTCTATTCAGATTTAAATTTTTGATATTCACATGATACAGGACTCAGACCCTTTGGTCTCAAAATATAGTGTAATGACAATGCTTTTTCTCAACATCCCCACAACTGGATGCCATAAGTTCAAAATAATTTCAATATGTGTTTGAATAGCAATACTATTCTGTATACAAATACTTATTTTTTGTAATGCTGGTGTGCTTGCTTTTTGTTGTTGTTGTTTTTTGTTTTATCTTTTATGTGCCTTCACATGTAAGTTAGATTACAGTTGCATATCAAATTGCTTGGAATTATTATCATATCATTTATTTTTATTGGACTATAACTGATGATTGCAAACTACGAATTTCTGAGGATAAGTGAAGGAGGAGGCTTACACTTTTGGGTTCTTGTCCTTTCTGTAGAGGTAATCACAGTCGTGTCTTTGCTATGATGTGCTGGGTACTATGAGGGATGAATTTTAATGATAGATTAATGATTTCAGGTGGAATGGTGTTGAGATTTGATATACGGATTATATGAGATGCCAATCTTACCACAAACACAGTGAAAATTCTTATGCAATATGTGCAATATGCAGTACTAAAACCTGCAGCCTTGAGATTCATGTAAGCTTCATGGATGATGCTCCAAGCACCCACACATCTAAATGCAACGTATTGAAAATTACTATATTTTTATGGTCATGGAATTCATAAAAACAAAATTGGTTCAATTTAATTTGTATAACGACTTTGTAGTTTAAATGAACCTTGAGGACAAAGGCAGGATTTTGGAGCTTTTATTGGAGGGTTCAAATTGGTTATTTTTATACAAATTTAAAATTACAGTTTTATAAAAAAATCTATTTAAAATCTCTTTGTTTAAATAATGATAATTTTATCATTAAAAATGTAAGAAAAGCATTATGCAATATACTGGTATTAAACAATTTATTTTTTAATAATTTTTATTGCACACTATAGGTATTTGATGCATGACTTATAAATATAATATATGTATATAAATTTAATATTTTATTGCAGCTGTTTGGATTTTTGTTTTATATTTTCAAATTTGATTACTTTGTATTGTTTGTGTATAATAAATGGAAAATATTCTTTCTTTTTGAGAGTTAATTTGAGTGTCTTGACACATGATTTTAGGCATGAGACAATTTATCAGTAAATAACGTTTAAAAGCAAAATATAATTGATATATGAGTTATTGTTAAGGGATATTCACAGTAATGCTGAAAATTATCTCATGCATTTTATAATGCTAAACTTATAAGTTCACCAATTTATTAATGAATGTTATTCGCTCAGCTCAATAAAATTATTTTTCATTCAATTATTATTAAATTTCTTCTCAAAATACAGAAAAAAGTGTATCTTTTATTATATAAATCTGAAGATAGACAAAATGAAATATCTAAATATTTTTTTTTTTATTTGTCCCAATATTGGGGGGAGGCGGTTGTTGCTCCCACTTACCCACCTGATCCCATCGCTGCTTGTGGACATTTCTTGGAAGTACTTTGAATATTGTTACTGGCTGTAAGGGTATGTGTGTCATCAGCATATGTTATTTTATTAGATATGACAGAATATCATCATCATCATCAAATGAACATATCTTACTGAAAATTGAGAAATTAAGGAACTATTGTTTCTCCATGTTTTAATCTGTATTGCACGAGACACATTTGAATCTTTCAGATCACAAAATATCATTGACACCAAAGTAATAGTTCATCAACAAGTTGAACCTTCAAGATTGAATTAGAGTAAATTCTATTCATTTATTTTAAAAATCGTTATTTATAAACCCGGAGTGAGAGATTAATATCAAAGTAATGAAGTTGAACAATGGTTTCTTAAAAAATATTAGAAAATCAGTCAAATTCAAAATAGCGTCATCAGAATAAAATCCAACTAATAATGACAATTCCTAATAGAAATGCCCTCTGGAAGTGAAAATCATTACAAATAAAATGGCAGAAGAAGTGAAATATTTTTTTAAATTTTGGGTAGGTATCTTTCCTTAAGTCTTAAGAGTACCCAAAAATTAAATAAGAATTAATCAAAAAATAATATATCAAGTGGGATCAAATATCAAGTATTAGAAATTAGAGATATAGAAGTTGATGAATAAAATAGTACATTGAAGGAATAGAAAGTTATCAAACTCCACTAAGAAACACTTTATTCTTGAAACCAATTGTATACAATGGAATTACTAGAATTCATTGTTCGATGGGTGTGAATAAGTGAATAATGCAAAAGAGTCAACCATTTAAAATTATACAAATAGTGAACAAATAACATGCATGCATTAGTTGTGCATTCTGAAAACATGTAGCACATTTACATGTATAGTACCATAAATATATCTACTCATTTAAACAATTGTAGACCTTCAACTACTGATGTGAAAAATGTACTATTCCTAAATTGACCAAAAACTGACATATGTACACTTATTCCTGCTTGCCAAAGCATTATGGAATTAGGCACTTCGTTATTCCATCAAGAGAAGCATAGATGAAAGGAAAGGAAATGAGTTATTGTTAATGGTACACAAATAATTTTCTCTTCCTACACGATTAGACCAGAGTCAATTCACCATAATGGGAATCACATTTCCCTTACATCAACATTTAAACTTCACATTCAAATGTCTTGATCACTTGTTTGTGGTAATAACTGAATATGAAACCCTTGGAGTGAGTACATTGCAAGGAAATAACCGAGTTATTAAAGAATACTCAATAACAGTTCACATCTCTTCCAGCCATTTATTTTCCCTTTGAAGTTGTTCTTCATCACTTTCAGTGAAGTCATTTTCGATATTAAATGTCCGGCGCAATTCTTCGGACGATTTGCCTATTAACATTTTAGCAACAGTTTTGCAGGAAGCTTCCAGAAGACTCTTTATGTCAAGATAATTTGCTGTCACGATGAAATCAAAGAGTGTCGCATTATCCACTTGAAGAAAATTAGCATCCCAACTGCAGATATCATCTATCTTTTTCTCAACATTCGGATCATCTTCAGGAGCAGGAGGATCATCTTTATGGTAAGTAGACCATTCAATTACTTTTTTCAAAATTGTCGAGTGAACGTTAGGAAGTGGGACAATGTCGTCCTCGCCCTCCTCTATTCCCAGATTATCAAGCATGGTTTTGATGGTGTGGGAACATTTTGCGACTTCGACGTCCACCTCGAAAACTTCCCCATCAGAACTCTGAAGCTTAATGATCGGCATAGTAGCAACGATCTTAGAGCACCAACGAATGTAAGAGAATATTTCGAGTTACAAGGCTCTGCTGCAAAGCTGACACCTTTCCTCAATGCACGACGATTCGCAACTGTCCGTCTTGTTTCCGTGTTTTAGTCGGAATGTAACCAATGACATAATTGTGGTAAAAAACAATTTTTGGTGCAGCGGCTAGTGATATATAGTAGGTCATCCCAGTTCCTGGGTTTGAATCTAGGGAGTAGGCACCAGTAGTTGATTTTTTAAAGGCGAAAAATCCATCGTGTGCCTTATCACGGAAAGAGAAATGAAACCCAAGGTCTTAATCGGAGGTGTGTGCTACTAAAAAAAGCAACTCATAAAAGACGCTTATAAGCAGTCGCCTTTGGATATGTCTATCCCGTCACACGACCACTGAGACTGCATTGTATCCAAACCTGTGGCTGAAAGGGGGTGAAATTAACTTCTGTAGCCGAGAAACATTATAAGTATTGGCTACAACGCCGAGAAATAGCCCGTGTACATTGTCGCGCGACAGTGGTGTTGCGACCATCCAGCAACTTCACAGTAGGACACGTGCGCACTTGAATACAAAGCTCGGCGACTATCGCACAACAAGACGAATAAGTGATGAAAAAATGTCGCCCGAAAGAATGCATTACATCACACTTGTTGAGGTCTTATTGAGCGATAAACGCCGAATTTTGTGTCCAAGTAGACACACGTGAAGTACAGTCGCGATACCATAGTCATTCGACAATATACACTGGGTGGTATTGTCGCGCAGAAGTTTTGAGAATTGTCTACCCCGTGACGAGACCACTGATAGCGGATTGTAATCATATCCGTGACTTAAAGCGAGTTAATTTATTACCCTCCTGTCAGTTGTGTCTCCTTGCTATACAGTCCGATACCATAATCATTACGCAATATTCAAAGTCTTAGTTTCAACGTAACAAATAGTAGGCTACGTGTGATGTTAATGTGATTAGCGGGGCGATACAACCAAGGTCTTCTACAGCCGGCATTTTCGGCACAGAACAGAAACTACGCAGGAAGGGAAGTGGAGAGCAGCTCCTCTGATCTTCATTGATACACCGCGCAGTGTGGACTGCCATCTTGCAAGTGTGCAAAAACAGCACGCACGTTTATATTTCTCTTCTTACGAAGACTTAAATCTCGTCTTAAAAGAAATT